TCAGTAAGAACAATTGCTCTAATTTCTCATTTTATCTAGTCAAATAGACGTACTTGAGTTAATCCAATATTCCCTTCACACTCAGAAGCATGCCACAATACATACAGTATAGCCATATTTATACAAGTATTTTTTTTCGAATGTTTTGTGCTTACTGATCCTGATATCCATATTTGATGTGAACTGTAATCCAGTTAGAAACATAAGAGAATGGTAGTATCGTCAAATTCCATTAAAGTAGATGGTGTCCGTATCGGACGTTTCTTTTTGGCTATGTTAGAATTTTTTACGAGAATTGGTTTGCATTTGTCTGTTTAGAAATATCTATAGACAATATTTACCATGTTTGTGCATCTTTTCATAGTCCATGTTTGTAAATACTCTGCAAATGAATTATTCTCATCTTTTTAAAGGTTTGCATTTGTTGGTTTCAGGCACAATCAAATATAATATCAAAAGAAATTCACTCTGTCAACATTGATCCATCATGCTCGTATCAGTTAGCATTCCATCTTGATGATGGCTGGTAGGTCAGATGAGCAGTCTTCATTTTTTTCCACTTGTTTAGTGTTAAGCTTATATGATAATAACTTCCTTTTCTGAAATCAGTATTGACAAAGTTTCAAGTTTCTTTTTGTATATTATTTCAATTCTTTTACTATTTTAAGCTGAACTACAATAGATTTATCTATATTTTCTTTAGGCTAAATATTGAAAACCCCCCTTTGGCTAACTTTTATGCTAATCTTGTTTGCTATACAGGTCTGGAATTTTGAACACAAATAGCCTAAATGTGACACATGTGCACTGCCCTCCTCCTGCTTGGTTGTAAGTGGAGTTAAAAAAATATTTTTAAATTGAAAATACTTATTTTTTCCCCCTTCATCTTGTCTTATTTTGGAAGTTGCTTTTGCATATTTTGTAGTCACCAAAGCAATCTGTTTGATTTTGTTGTGGAACCAGGGATGGTATGGAAATACCTCGTCTTTCCTCGAGCTTGAGAAGACCTGCTTGGCTGCTCTCATGTTCGGTAAGACTATTAATTATTTGTATCCAAAGGAGTCAAAGAAGCAGTTGCATGATGATAATGTCTCATTCATTTTTACTTAATTATATAACAATATATATATATATATATATCATATATATATATATATATCATATATATACTATATATATAATATTATATATATATGTGAAAACTTGTGTCAACTTAGTAGATAATGGGAAATAGTGTGTCCACAAAGTTTTTAACCACTCATATTGCCTAGGGATCCAATGTATTATTATAAAAAGGTGCTTTTATATTTTAATTAAAATGTGCTGGCTTACAAAACTTTGGTAGCACATCAACTTAAGTTGATAGGGAGTCTTGCCTAGATATATATATTATTATATATATATATATATATATATATATATATATATATTATATATATATATATATATATTATATATATATAATATAATATATAGAGAGAGAGAGAAACTTTATGTCAACTTATAGTAGTACCAATCCACCAAAACTATTCTATCCATTTGATGATACCTAAGGGGCAAATTCCATTTTTGAAGAGATATGAAGAGACTTTATAAATATATATGAGTGGATAGAAAGTTTGGTCGGGACAGAAGACTCTTGTCCACTTAAGTGACATAAAGTTCACCTCTCTCTCTCTCTCTCTATATATATATATATATATATAAATATATTTAATATATTACTATATATTATATATATATATACACGGTTTTTCTATAGAAATGCTCCATGGGCACTCTATAAGAAAGGAGAGGATTAGAGAGAAATGAATGAAGGAGCGCGCGGGTCCCCTGATTATGCATTGGGATCCTCTTAATCATTTCATTTCTCTCATATCTCTCTCCTCTCTTATAGATGCTGCCCATCGGGCCATCTATAGAAAAACCGATATATATATATATATATATATATGTATATATATAAAAAGAATAATAGTGGGACCCATTAAATAGTGAAAAATATAGCCCATGCTCCTGCTGAGGAATGCAGGAGCTTCTCCTATCTCAACTCTGGACATTGCTAATGACCTCAGCATGGCCTCAATACCGTGTTAAGAAATACCCATTTCAACTTAATACCCTCAATTTCGTCATTTTGAATTTTTTCTTTCATACTTGGGATATCCCGTGGATATCATAATCTGAATGTAAACACATGTTTGCATTTTGTTATTTGACCGTCAACTAGTAGTGCTCTGAGATGGACACATTTTCTTGTGCAGATATATGCCGTTGGTTCTACCTGTGGTAAAGGAATTCATCTGCTAGATTTCTTCCCAGATAGAAGCTCAGCTTGCCATGTGGATTTCATGTAAGCTAAACCAAATGATCTTGTGTGTGAAGTGCCTCCTGTGTGTGAAGTGCCTATTTATAAATATTCTCTTACCTGCTTTTCATCTTGGATAATTATAATAACTAGGTACAATTACTCTACATGTATATGTTCTATAGATGTAATTATCATGTAACATGTTTTTTCCTTGGATTCTGTATGAAATAGACATTGTCTTTTGCTCGTGAACTCACTCATTATTTCCACCTCGCAGTGGGGATTTAGAAACTCTGTCCAATGAAAATAAACAAACTGCTAGGAACAAATTTTGCACTGTATCAGAATGTGTTTTGGTTTGTGCTGCGCATCCCATCAATGGTACCATCATAGCTGGAACGAAGGTATGTTTTTCATTCCAAATCAGTTTCTACTAAAGTTAGAGACACAATTAATGAAAATTTTGTGAAATTTGTGGTTCCTTTATGCTTTGTGCTTCACTGGGTTGACTCTCATCTTGTTACACTCACATCCTGCTAAACATGTGGTTCCTTTATGCTTTGTGCTTCACTGGGTTGACTCTCATCTTGTTACACTCACATCCTGCTAAACATTACCACTTGATAGTTGCTTATGAAACGTCCGTTGACTCTCATCTTGTTACACTCACATCCTGCTAAACATTACCACTTGATAGTTGCTTATGAAACGTCCCTGTAACAACATGCTTAATTTTACCTTTAAAGAGAAAAAAATTGAAATGTTCTCCATTTTTAAATGAACCAAAATTTCATCTTCTGGGACATCTTTGCTCCGCATAAACTGGCTTGCTCTTTCTTAAGTATGATTACTCACATGACATGCCACATTTTCTGGTTCAGCATTCTTCACTGCTGATGATTTCACATAGGCATCAGGCTGACGAGGACCTGGATCGAACTACCTGAAGGCTGCCAAACTAAATGTGCTTATAAAATTTCAAGTTCATACTGGCCACTAAGTAACATGAAGTTCAAGTAGTTTGTGGATCTCTAAACAACAATTACAATGACAGCTCGGAAGGCATCTAGTCCATCTATTTCTTTCATTAGTTGGATGGCTGTTTAGCTGGAGAAAGAGTTCCAGAACAAGCATGAAGCAAATATTATTCAGGAAGTCAGCTTTGCAAATTCTTTCCATGCCATAATAAAATCATGATGATTCTACTTCAATTTGCGTCTCAAGTGCAAGTAATCCTAGGAAAATTTTGTGTTTGTGCCTAAGATCACCAAGGTATCCTTCAGCTTTCTATACGCTCACTTGGCGATTGGAGTAGAAAAAATTGGGAACTGGTTTGGTGGATCTACAGGGTCAATATTTACGAGAAGTATTGTCTGTGTACTAGTCATTTAGTTTGCCTGTGTGGAGCATTTGTGAACATAATACTATAGCTTGTATTGAAGCATGTCCAGATCTATGTTGTGCTATAATGTATGAATAGAAATATTCTGAAAGACAAGTTTTGACATTGGAAATATAAACTCATGGGTCTCTCAGCAAACAATTTCAGCTTTTCTGATGGTAGAAATATAATTTTTGTATTTTATCTTTTAACTTCAAAGAACCTAACCATGTGATATTGGTTGTCAGGCACAAATTCACTATTCAAAAGTTGTCCCTTTTGATCAGGCATTGTACTTTAGCGAAACCAAAAATTTAACACTTCCTTCGCATTCATAATCAGGACACCAAAGAGGATCACTGTGGTGACTCGTCATCAGCGATAGACTGGCTTATATGGCATTGTGCTGCAAGAGTATGAAATATTGTCCTTCAATGCCTAATCAATAGCTAATGCATCTGGTATTGCTTCCAGGCCTACAAATCTTGTAATGTTCACTTAGAGATCAAGCCATCTTGAATTGAAAATCTCAACAAAAGATAACCCATTACGAAATTTAGCATCCACTTTTGGCTAAGATTAGATAATCTGATCGGATGCGGATCATCCAAATCTGATATTTCTCCTCTAATGCACCAGATCTTTCGCTTCTCATGAGTTGGGGATGAAATTATGTTTTTCTCCCTTTCCCTGAGTTGCAGAGAGGTAACACTACAGCCAGCCCAATTTTGTCCGGTATTGGCAAAGTAATGGCAGTAACCATGTCTACAGATGGTTATGGATCCATATTGGGTAGGGTTATGGATCCATATTGGGTAGGACTTTTGCTTTCAAGTAATAAGTTTAGAAACATTTCATTCATGCAGAAAATTGATTCACACCTGGGATATGAATGGTAATAACCAAAAGAATGAACAAGTTCAAGATCATAATACCCGTACCAATCGTCCTAATTAAGCACTTATTAGTTTGCCTCACTAATTCAAAGCGAGATATAAACTTTGAAAAAACGGAGGGACGGATATCAATAACGCTCACAGAATATGCGAATGAAATCGACATGAAAAACCCAGAGCCAAATAAATAGCATTGGCTAAAACTTAAAAAACAAATAAGTAAACCACAAAAAGAAGTTTAAGCTAACTAGACATTCAGTGAGTAACTAGAACTTTCCAAGAAACAGCTGCACTTGGAACTGTGTACTGTACAGAATACAGCTAAAATTATAGGTCCTTCTCAACTCTCAAGTAACAAGCTGTATAGGCAATATATACAGGTTTCAGAATACAGCTAAAATGTTTCATACACAGGTTTCAGAAACACTACAGAGGTCAGGTGAGGATTCAACAGAGACAGCATGGTAGAGTGATCCTTGAGCCAAATCAAACCGATAGTTGGAATTGGCGTGTTTCAAAGCAGCAATCACTAAAGTACACACTCATCTTATCATCATAATCAGTGCAAGAAGAAGGGTTTCTGTAAACTCCATGAAACGAAATGTTTCACTCATCTCATCGCATCGACATAAGAGTCTTCCTCTGCATGACCTCCCTCTTAGCAGTGACCTCCCTCCTCACAGACCGCTTCAACTCATTCTTCTTCACAATCTTCTCAATCTGATCAATAGACTTGCACAACTTTTCTTCAGCTTCAGTTCGCTTCTCGTTGCTGGGAGATGTATCAATCTCAGAAATGGAGCTGGAAGTGGAAGGGGTCTTCAATGGGTGCTCAACTGGAGAAGATGGAGGAATGCATGTGGTAACATGAAGTGGAGTGGAATCTATAGGAAGAGTTTGATCTGCGACACTGAGTTCTTGTGGACTCTCTTGAGAGGCTTCTCCGTTTCTGTTACCCTCTGCAGCCCTGGCCACCTGCACTTGTTGCCTTCTCTTCTCTAAAGCCTGCAAAAGATGAAATTATCAGAATTACAATTAACCTTTAAAAGCACTCCACTGAACAATGAAATAAAATGTTTCATTAGTAGAAATGCAATTAAAAGCAATGCCATATGCAAGGAACGAACTTATTCATAGTTATGATAAATCTAGTAACTAGATACTCAAATGGTCAGACCAATTTATTCATCATTAAAGATAACCTAATCTTCCAAAGTTATGAAATGTTATTTTTGATATAAAAAAAGGTATTAGTGTTCTTCAGAAGATTAAAACATCTGATCTCCTGCAAGTGCCCACAATATGCTCTCATAAATTGACTCCAAATGATATTTCACATATCAGTTAACATGGAAAGCGAAAATGTTAAGGCAAACATGCAAATCATATCTAGCTAGGCATTAATAGCATTATTTGAGAAGATATAAGGGCAAATTAAGAATAAGTAATATGTCTCATCAGCTAAACCCACGCCAAACTGCTAAAAAGATAGTTATTAAGAATGTATAGAGAAATTTTCTGGTATCAGCAGACTCTAATCCCAAATAATAAATGGAAAACAAATTTATGCAAACAGAATTGAAAAAAGTAAACTTTGAGGTAACCAAAGACACTATAAAACCATTATAAAAGAGAAAATCCTAAACTAAACCAGTTGGCAACAAGACCTTCAGCTATTATTCAACAAAGCTTGCAGCAAGTAGTCAATAATCTTTAATAAAACCATTGGAGAAAATTGCCTTATTATTCAGATGTACCATTAGTAGGTGATTATTAATTCTTAGTGACATACTGGAGAAATTAAGCAAATTTACCAAGAAACAAAAATGTAAATATGATACATCTGAAGATTCAACAGATTAAATCAGATAGAAAGTAGAAACCAGATTAGCAATAAATCACTAGATAAGCTAGAAGTTAAACATCCTTCAGAGTTCTTGCACCACAAACAGGATTTAAATTTAAGGTTCAAAGAGAAAAACTCTAACAAAAACCCTCCTCTAATTCAATAAAATTGTAGAAATTCTCTAGAAAACATCTGAAAATGAAAAGGAGAATAACATAGGTTTTAAAGAAGAGAAAAAACCTAATAACTTCCGCCCGAAACTCTAATTACAGTGATCGCCCTTAAATCCAGGAAACGGTCACACCTAGAAACATAGTAATGACCCAAAGAAACACTGAAAAATTGCTAAAAAGTAAATCTGCTATATCAAAAACACTATTTCTATAGTTCAATCAACATACTTAAAATACCTAAAAGTAAGGGTATATTGTAATAAACCCCATTCATCGATTACCAAAATCAAGAAACCTACTCATGTACTAAGTTAAACAATAAACCATAATCTATAAATTTCATCAAAATTGTTAGCTTGTGTTGTTATTATTTTAATAAAGGATAAATTTGAGGGCATGAAATGAATTATAAAGTCACTTATTATCCTTTTTTACTTCTATCTAATACGGGCTTCTTGAAAACTTCAGATGAAGAAGTTTTTCTTGCAATTTACATTAAAAGTGATTACGATCCAGAAAAAAATTTAGAAATTTCTTACATTGACGATGGCAGTGATGTCCCTCAACGGCGTCCTAGGGTACCACTCCGGCAATGGGCTCTTCCTCACCCTAACCCTCCTCCTCCTCCACAATGGTGACGATTCCAGGTAACCTGCTGGTGGTATGTTCTCCTTATTATCCTCCGTCGCTCTCGACATCCTCCGTGTTGTCACCGCCGCTGCTGGTGGGTCCACCCTCCTGACCCACAATCTCCCGCCCACTTCACTTCTCCGCACCAAAATCCCTGTCGCTTCTGGCATCTTTCACTGGAAAGACAAGAAATCAGTGAAATTACAAGAAAAATATATGTTTATTACAAAAAGAAGAAGAAATGATGCATCTATCAGCACAAACGCTAGAAATTAATTTAAAAAGATAAAATCTGACAAAGAACAAAATAACCTCCATCTACGAGAGGAATCTCCCTAAGAACTCTGATTACAGTGATCACCCGGGCAAACGGGTTAAACCCAGAAACATATCAAAGATTGAAAAAACGAAAAACAAAATCAGCGAAAATTCAAGATAAAGAGGAATTTTTCATTAAAAAGAAAAAGAAATTGACGGTCCAGCATAAATTCAAGGAAATGCTAGAAATTACTCTACAAATGATAAAAACTAATCTACATAAAAATAAAGAGGTATTTTCATTCAAAGAAGAAGAAGAAATGGCGATCTGTTAGCATAAAATTCACGAAAACCAAGAAATTACTCTACAAAATAATAAGGGAAAAACCTGCAGCTAAAAAAGAGAGGGAAAAACCCTAAGAATTCCCCCCCAAAAACACTGATTACAGTAATCAAGAAAAGGAGCGACTTTTAGACTAAAAAAATAAGTAGAAAATGACGATCTATTACCTTGATTAATTGCTGTGGATGATTTCTTCGACTCAGAAATTGAGAGATGCCTGCGTCTACATCGATCAAGAAATGAGAGGGTTTCAGAGTTTAAATAAGAGGGGGTTGGGGGCGGTGACGGGATCCGGAAAAAGAACGTTGGGATCATGGCAGTTCGGGGTCTGGTCACCGCTTTTTTCGAATATTCAAATTTTGTGTTTGGGCGGACAAATTGAATTGACGGTTATGCCCAGCTCTGTGGGAAGTGCATAAATGGGAATTATGGGATGATGAGAAGTATACGACCGTTGAAATAATTAATCACTGTAGTGGGGGTAATTCGTTTAAATCTAAGGACAAATTTTCAAAACCAACCTATTTGAGAAACTAATTGCAAAAAACGACCCGTTTGACATTTATTTAGAGAAACCGACCTGGTTTCAGCACTGTAGCTGAAACCAGGTCGGTTTTTCTAAAAAAGTTTACGAAACTTCACGCGAGTTCAACTCCCGTGAAGTTTTGTTATGAGAAAAAACTTCACGGGAGTTGAACTCCCGTGAAGTTTCGTAAACTTTTTTAGAAAAACCGACCTGGTTTCAGCGTTGAGGCTGAAACCGGGTCGGTTTTTGCAAATAAAACTGAAATTGGTCTTTTTTTGGGAATAGTTTATCAAATGGGTTGGTTTTGAAAATTTGTCCTCCTTTATAATTAGCCCAGCCCTCAAGTACTGTTTTTGAAAAAGAAGCTCATAAGTTTTACTCCACTCTTCTAAGAAGTCCTCAAGTTTCTTTTTTTTACTACTAGGCCCAGTGCCTTTACCATCTATTCTGAGAAGCCCATGATTTTTACCCCTCCCAATTCTTTTTGTTAGCCTGGAGGTTTCGTTAGCAGAAAAAGAAAGTTGGGTGCTTCTTAGAACAAAGTGGTAAAGCTTAAGGGATCAGTTGTTAAAAAAAAAGTTGAGGGCTTCTTAGAATGAATAGGTTAAAGCTAAGAGCTTTTTAGAAAAAATGGGTAAGACTTAAGGTAATCTTTAGCCTATCTTCTCAATTTCTAATTGTGGCCATTTTTCCTTTTTTTGGAGGGAACTTCCTCACAATCATTGGGTGTCACTAAGGCCCCGTTTGGTTGCAAAACAGAAAGGCTGAAAGCCTGACAAAAGCCTGAAGCTTTTGTCAGGCTTTCAGCCTTGTTATTATGCAACCAAACGGGGCCTAAGGGGCACCCCCAACACACGACCTCATGTATTTCACGAAATTAAATTCACGTGGGTGCTCTCTAGAAAAGTCAAAGCAGACATTAAAATAATGCTCATAGTTAGCTTGCTAACTCGGCTAGACACTCTTGGGTTTTATTGTGGTGATTTTGAAAGCGCTAAATTATTAGATTGGTATTTTATTAGCACCATATTCTCAGATATAGTTTTTTTTTTCTTTCACTTGCAGTATTACGAAAACTAATATCACCATTTGACGTGAATTTGATATTTATGTCATATAGGAAAAATAACCAAATTACTTTATTTAGTAGTAGAAAAACATGACCAAAATTGAAAATGATCATTTTGTTATGAGCACATATCAGAATGAATTGTAACTTTTTTGCTTCTCATTTCCAATCACATCCTAATTCATTATGGAATTTATTTTAGTTTCAAATTTGTTGGTGAATCGCGATGCGTTATTTACATTTTCCGATTGACTGGAGTACAAGACTGTTGCAGACGCAGTGCTTTAAAAAAAAGTTTTTGATTTGGCCATCGTATGAAGAATGCTGCAAATTGCAACAGCCAGCCCCCCCACCCCCCCACCACATACTTCTAAAAGTCTTGGCATTAAGCAATCATACGGTATCGTACTAACAATCAAGTTTCTTTCATACTTCTACTCTTTCTCACGATTTATGCTTTTGTTTGAAAGGAACTTGAATCCACTCCAAATACCAAACAAGGCCTCAAAAGCTTAGGTCCACTTTCCAGCCCTTGGACCTGCAATTCGTAGGGGGAAGAGAAACTAGATTGCTAGATTGCTAGAACCCATCATTATGACATACTATTGGCCGCTTTTACGAACAAAAAACGCATATTCTGCAATATATCACCGCTATTGGGCGATAGCGTAGCGGGAAGGAACCGCTAACGCTATTAGCGCCGCTATTACGGGACTATTTACCGCTATTTATAACAGTATTGAAGTGTATCCTAATCAATAACCATATGAAATACGAAGTGGCTGAAGAGAACTCATGCCCATAATTCCTTAAAGGTCCTTCTACTTTCATTCAATCAAACTTACAAGGCGTGCAAAAATATCTAGTTGACACCTGTAAGTTTTTAACATAAGACCATGTGCCTTAAGATATAATTGAAAAATAAATCACTCGCTAAGTCGTTCACTTCAGTCAAAATTCTTATCCAAAAAGAAATCTTTTGATTGTTCCTTTAGGTTTAATTCTATTTTTCCACCAAGCATTTTGAAATTTGACTTAGATATTCCGTTATAATTTATTACATCAAACTGCGTATACACACTATTGCACAATTTTAGTTGATCATGATATAATTGTCCCTTAACGACTTCCAAATGAATACGTGTTTGTTAACGAGTTCTTATTCCACTCCTTTTTCCTCATCGATATTAAAAATAAAACAAAAACAAGAACGTACAGGTTCCAATCTTTAACATCAAACCGCCTACAACTGAGACTGTGCCTTAGTTGACACTTCACAGGAAATCTACCCTTTTTACCAGAAGACAAACCCTGGAATATTGGTCAACATCCAAAAAGATTGAATCTTTAACATCCAAACACTGAGTTAACTTCTCCACAGAACAAGAAAACAACCTTCGTCCTCATTTCATTCCTTGGTCCTCATACAGCGCCACATCTGAACTACTTATGATGTCGAATCCCTGTAGATCTTCATCGAGGGTCTAACCAACTAGAAAGTAAAAAACTCAAAAGCCATAGAATTAACTAAAACTAATTTCGTCACCTCGGAGTCCTGAGACTTGGCGATATCGACAAGGATCTTGGCAGCAGGGTGTTCACGGGGAAAACTGTTGTCTTTTTCATTGAAATAATCGTCATCTTGGGTTACAAAAGATCCGGTCTTTTTTAGATCCGGTTACAATTAAATCAAAGAAAAATAAGAAAAATTACAACTTTCCTTTTGTGAACAAATCACGAGCTCCTGTTTTGCGGTTGCTCGCTTGTGTGGGTTCTTTGCCAACGCCGGGGTTAATCCGTGGACCACCGCGCGATCTAGATCCGGTCGGATCTACACGATTATACGGGTATTATTCCACGAAGGGAATAATAGCCGGGAGGGATTAGTCCACTAAGGGAATAATCGCTCGGATCTCGAGATCTAAGACCAAGCTTAGATCTGGAGTGTGATCTCGTGTAGATCTCAGATCTGTTCTTTCTTCCTCTCGAAATCCTGCCTTTTCTGACGTAGGTGCTCGCCGAGGATCAGATCTGTACGTGCAAGTCTTCAGGTCTTCAAAGCTCTGAGTTCACTCTTCAATCCGGCAGAGTTTCGGCTCTTGAAAGTTCGACCTCTGAAAATGAATACCACTTGGCCTATTTATAGGCACCCAGATCTGTGCCTAGGCACAGATCTGGGCCGGCCACCTCAGGGTGGCTCGGCTCTGGGCCGAGCCACCTTGAGGTGGCTCGGCTTTGGCCGAGCCACCTTGAGGTG